TTGGAGTTGTACTGAAAAAATTTCAACAACTGGAGTCGAAGTTGTAATCAAAAATTTTCAACAACTGGAGTTGGAGTTAGAGTTATTACCTTTTTTTTACGACTCCACACCCCTTGAAAAATTATTCCATTTTCTTTTGCAATGTTAATCAATTCAATACTTTAAGTGAGATTTATGTCGATCTAAAATAAGTAGAAGTGGAAAGCTTGTTTTGGTCTTTGGATATTGAATAAAACTTAACCAAACAAAAAACATTTTTTTTTGTATCCATCCACTTAAGTGACATTCAGCCCAGACACCGATCCATTAATTCTGGATTTTTTTTCAAGGAAAGATCATCACAGGTGACATGTACCTCTCACTTGCTGAAGAGCAAACTTTAGAACTGTAGAAATACCTGGTTCATCACAATTCCAGATATTTTTAACATGTAGCTTGTTTGTATCCACAATTTCTTCCAGTAAAGAAAAAAAAGAATCCAAAGCCACTCCAAAGAATCCAAAGCCGTTAAAGCTCATGGCACAAGCGGCCATGTATCCTCTGGTTTATGAAGTGGAAAGTTTTGGAATGTCTCTCCATGAAGCCTTAATACCAGTCAAAATTGGCAACACCAAGGTCATTATTAAAACTGTATTTCTTATTGTTTTTAATTGTCAGCTCATACACTAACATTCTGAGCTCAAATGAGCTGAATCCAAAAAGCATCTTTTCCATCAGCTGAATGTGCATAACAAAATCATTTTCTTCCGCTGTGGGGTAAATGCTGTTTTGAAAGCACCTAGAGCTGAAATACTAAAGTACTAATTTAACTTCTGAAGTACTTAAGTACTAAATTAACTTAAAGTACTAACTTAACACTTCAAACTTAATAAGAAAACAATTTATAACATATTTTACATATTTAATAATTTTGTGTTGGCCTATAATACATAAAAGTTGTCAAAGAGTAATAACATTGATGATTTTTTGAACACATTGTATCTCTACTGTATAGTAACTAATCATTTAAATTCTGTTTTCACGCGTTTTTTAATATCAGGATTTTTTACTTTTCTTTCAAGGGTAGTTTGGGGTACACTATATACTTTGGGAGCTTTTTTATATCATTGATCATCATTTATCAATTAGAGAATTGCTTGTTGCATGGCACTTTCACTCCATGCCTGTCAATTTGATGTTTGTTTATAAATTCTCATATATTATTCAAAGTTTTCAATTATAAACTCTGTCTTCTAACCACTTTCAGTCTACTTCTTTCTACTTTCTTTAATAGCAAAATTATTCAATCTTTAATTAACCAACTTTTATTTAAAATTGTCTTTGACGGACAACACTCTCCTTTACTTCCCAGAGTTCCCACTTTAAAAACTGAGGCTAATAGTAAGGATATTAAAGAGATTTAAGGGAATATTTTCCTAATATTCAAGGAGATTTGATTGTGCACGATAACTTTTTGAAAGAAAAAATAAGAATTAAGGAGAAAACAATTATATAATTATATAATCTAAACTTTGGTTTCTTCAACAGCATGTTTCTCAATCAGTAGGTTCATCAGGAAGAACCTACTGATAGAGAAACATGTTGCTGAAGAAACCAAAAATTAGATATGTGTTTCTACTAATTTAGTATTGCTCTGTTCTTTAAAAACATTAAGCACTCTATTTGTAGAATACACTAACATAATTTGTATATAAATATAAATATATATATAATAAAAATATAGGTTTGCAAACTATCAAAGAACTATATATTTTCTTCTTTATTAATAAGTATAACCCATTCATTAAAATAAATTTTCCTAAATGATTAAAAAAAAAAAGAGAAATTAAGGAGTGCAGTTAAATTTTAACTTTTTTAAAGGACATTTAAGGAGGTTTTTATTTTTTAAGGTTATTTAAGATTTTTAAGGAGGAGTGGGAACCCTGCTTCCAGTAACTTCTGGGGTACCACAAGATTCCATTTTTGGTCTTTATTCCTGGTCAAGTTTTATTTTGAGGCCCTTTCTCTTTCAGACAAGGCTTAAAAACTCATCAAAAACTTTGTTGCACCAGCACTAGCTATTGCACTAGTTACTACAAGCCCCAAGTTACCAAGTTAATTAGTATATGAATATGTAATGCGTGTTAATGAAAAAATTGTCTTTGACAGACAACATTCTACTTTACTTCCAGTAACTTCTGAGGTACCAAGTTAATGTGGTAGTGGTTTAGCGGTAGAACACTCACTTTGTAAGCGAGAAATTCCAAGTTATATTTCTACTATGTTTCTGGTAGTAATGTGTCTAACTTGCAGTACAAATCATGCTAAACTGGCAATTTCATCCTTAGAGGAATCTTTAAGGAATACATTTTAAATTAAAAAACACTTACTTAGATGCATAGAGAAACTTTTTGGAATGTAAAATATGCCACTTCTTCTTCATTAGAGAAAAATTTAACTCGTGTTGACTGTCTGTTTGTAAATTCACATCAACCAGAAAATCACAATCCTCAATGTTACTCTAAAAACAAATAATATCAAAAGATAATAAAATGTTCTTAAAACAAAAAAACGAAAAAAAAACAAAAACTACAAATATGTGATAGTTTAAAAAAATGTCTTTACTAAAACAAGTTGTGTTAAGCTTTTATAGCAAATGGCCAACCAGTAAAAATTATATTTAGTTTCTAAATAATTGTATATATAAAGAGAAGTGACTTTAAAAAGAGGTGAATTATATAAATAGACATAATTCTAAATATCCTGGGAAGTTTTGTATCCTGAGGTACAGAATTAATAGCTTTGCTTGTTTATTTGGCACCAAAAACCTTCAATGTTTTTACTCCTAGGCTTTACAAAAATTTTTTTACTGATAAATTTAAAACTTTTTTATATTCATACTAATTCATAGTAACTTATGTTCACAGTGAATGAACTTTAAATTTAATAAAAAAAATTGTAATGAGCTTGAAAAAATGACAAAGATTTTTTGTATAAAATAAACATGCGTAGATGCTTACTCAACACCACTGAGAATATATGTTATTTTGGATTTTTCTGAGAAAGATAGGCACATTTATGCATAACAATTGTTTTTATGCAAAACTTAAAGCACTTTTAGCAAAATGTCTACAAAAATAGATTTAAAGTTGATTCCAGAATTTGGTGGGAAGGTTTAACAGTCGATTGCTAAATGATTGGAATGGTTGAGCTCATTTGCAAACTAATTAGTATTACTTATCTGGGAGGCATGGTTTTACTTATCAGGGAGGAGTTTTGGTAATACTTATCTGGAAGGTCTGACACAAACAAGAGCAGTTTTGAGTAAGAAATGTTACAAAAAGACAAAAAATTTGCTGTTGCTGCAATTGAATCCATGAAAAAATACATCGAGTTAAAAAACCCTAGTTAAAAAAAAAATCAAACATATTCACCTATGAGAGCAAAAACTTCCTTGTTATTCAAGAGAATAAAAAGGATATAAATACAATAAACATAAATAAATAATAAATAAAAATAACTCAGGTAGAAATATAAGGGAAGTGTAAGAATGTGTCCAAAAGACATTGTGAGATAGTAAAGTCAATTAGACTCCAGTTGCACCAGCTGCATCATTTACAAAAAAATGTCCAATGAATATAATAAAAAAGCTATTATTGTAACTGCAAACTCAAGTTTCACAATTCTGTTTGTAAAGGAAAACCAAAACTAAGTAATTGTATAAAAAACTGAATAGCAACTCCCAAACTGAAATTCTGGCGAATAAGATTGTAGAAAATATTATCCCTTCTAACATAAAGTACAATTATGAAAAAGAAATCGAAAGATAATAATAAAAAAGCGGCTATGAAAGTTAAAAAAAAATAAAGATTTTTAAAAACTTTCTTTTCTCTAAAAATTTCTTTAAAACAAGTATTTGTTCAATAAATTTCAATAAAGGTTCACAGAAAGTGAGAGTATTTTTAGTTTTTAGTGAGCATATTTATTTACTTTAGTGAGCATATTTATTGAAGTATGACAAACTCTGCTGACAAAACTTATGACTAGAGAAGATTTTTTCAAGAAAATGTTTTAATAATTTCAAAAAAACTATATATAACTAAAATATAAAATAATAAGTGATCTGTACGATGAAAGCAGTGATAAATTCTATTGCAATTCTATTGAATTATTTTAAAAGATTTGGAAAGGTTATCATACATAAATGAATTTGACCATTAGGAAACATGCTTACTTTTTTATATTTAATTTTAACTGGTTCATGCTTCCATAGAGGCAATAGTTCTAGGGTTACAAGTTGGATTTGAAAATAAGAAACTGTTTTGTAAATAAGATAATAAATTTGATGAAATACCAAGATCACTAATAAGACATAGCACCTTTTCTTTATCAAGAAAAATATCAGAGAATCTTTTGATTTGCAGTTTGGTTCTGAGTAGCTTCAAAAATAATACAAAGAGATTTTTTAAGAAAAGATGGAATTCGATTTATAAACAGTATGTAACAAAATGGTCAACATGTTTGAACATTGAAACATTTTATATTTTTTTAAATAGAAAATCTGCGAAGAAAAATGAAATTTAAATTTTATTAATTAGATTTAAGACTTAGCTAAATGAAAAGATTGCTTTTTATTTAAAGGATATTGAGTTTTTTTTAAATTTATTTGCCAATGAAAACAATGACACATTGTAATAAATTATTATGGAGTAAAAGCTTCTTTAGATTTAATTACAACCTGAATTCTTTCAGGAACACTAGCAACCAATTTTCTGCATTCCTCAGGCATTGAGTACCAAGCCTCCTGTACACAAGCCCAAAATTCATCCTTATTCTTAAGTAGACTGGAAAAGTTGTAGATTTATTTAACTATTGCCTATAAAAACCAACTCCATGAGCACAAAAACATCTCTAAAACAAGAGTTTTCATATGGCTTTTTTAACAGTTGGTGTAAAATCTCGAGCACTTAATGGTGAATTAGACTTTCTTTAAGTATATCTTATACGATATGATCAAAAGATATTAATTTAACTTTATAACTTTATTTTCATCAGTCTAAATTTGGTCATCAAAGTCATCAAAAGTCTTGTTTGCATAAAGCTTATATATATATATATATATATATATATATATATATATATATATATATATATATATATATATATATATATATATATATATATATATATATATATATATATATATATATATATATGTATATATATATATATATGTATATATATACATATATATATATATATATATATATATATATATATATATATATATATATATATATATATAAATATATATATAAATATATATATATATATATATATATATATATATATATATATATATATATATATATATATATATATATATATATATATATATATAACGGTTGATGCGTAATTAGTGACACAAAAGTTAACTTAGTTTTGCTCGTAATATAATCTTTTTCATTAAACCATATAAATTTATTTTGGTAAATTGAATATTCTAGTTTTATTAAAAAAAAAAATTATCCAAAAAAAATGTTAAACGGCCAAGAAAGAGCAGCTCTTCAAAAAAGCGTCAAAATTTTTTTTGTAAAAAACCTAAAAGCGACCAAAGCCGAAGCCGCTAACCATTTTATTAAAGAAGGAATCGCTCGCAAAACAGCATATAGATATATCAATCGACAGCTTGATGGACAATGTTTAAAAATAAAAAAAAATTCTGGTCGCCCGTCATCGTGGACTTAAGAAAAAAAAGCGAAACTTAAAAGGTTGACCAACAATCGAAAAGGTGTAAGTCAAAGAAAGCTCGCACGTAAATTCAACGTAAATCAAGCAACAATTTGTAGACAATTAGCCAAAATGAACATAAAATATCGGAAACGCGAAAAAACACCGAAATACAATGATGAACAACGTCTAAGGGCACAAAAAAGAAGTCGAAAACTCGTCAATCACCTCTACAAAGAACAAAGCATTTTAATTTTGGACGACGAAAAATACTTTTGTTTTGCTGGCGATGAAATGCCTGGAAACGCCGGTTATTACACGAACGACAAAGAAAAATGTCCAGAAAATGTTCCTTTTGTGGGAAAAAAGAAATTTCCGAAAAAAATTCTCGTTTGGATCGCATTATCTGAGCGTGGAATGTCGAAACCACTCTTCCGGTCGTCAACCTCGGCTGCAATAAAATCCGAAATTTATATCAAAGAGTGCTTAGAGGAAAGATTGTTGCCATTCATAGATAAGTATCACGATGATTTAAATTACATATTTTGGCCGGATTTAGCTAGTGCCCATAGAGCTAAAGAGGCAATATTGTGGATGAATGAAATGATTAACTTCGTGCCGGTCGATATGAACCCTCCTAATGTCCCCAAAGCCAGGCCAATCGAAGACTTTTGGGGAGTATTGGCTCAGAATGTGTATGAGGGTGGATGGGAGGCCAAAAGTGAACAACAACTGATTCGGCGTATCGAAGCCTGTCTGAAAAAAATTGATTTGACATTTTTACAATCCCTTATGATGGGTATCAAAACTAAATTGAGATTAATAGCCCATCAAGGCGTTCAATCGATTTACAAAAATTAATTTTTAAAAAATAAATATTGTGTAATTATTTTTTAAAATTGAAAAAATTTTTTTCTTTTATTTCTTTAAAAATATAAGGCTCTGATTTTTGTGTCACTAATTATGCATCACCCGTTATAAATATATATATATTTATATAATAGAGGTGTTTAAATTTTACAAATTTTTTTTTTGGAACATGTATGCAAGCTAAAAAGATGTGTAATCTTGAGTGATTTAAGATAATATTTTGATTTTTCAAAAAAAAAAAAAAAAAATTTCACCTTGCTACACCCAACCAAAGTTTTTTAAAATTTGTAACTTTTTACAAGATTGAAATTTTCTCGAGATCTAAGACACATAAAAACATGTATACGACTTATTTGCTAGCTTACTATGTCTAGAGCATGCTTGAAAAAAAATTTCACCCTAGCTTTATGGGATCACCTTGCTACAACTTGATTTCGGAAACCGTGAAAATATGGGCAGGGGTGGGAGTGGGGTGGAGGATAATATAAACCACAAATTTTAAAAGTATACAAATAATAAAACCGCAAATTTTAAAGTATACAAATAATAAAACCACAAATTTTAAAGTATACAAATAATAAAACCGCAAAGTATCATTATTATTAGGACAAGAGAAAAACATGCAAAAGGTCTTATGTTTTTTGGTTCAAAAAGCCAATTTACTTATGATAAATTTTGTATTTTGAAAATATTTGTTTTACAAAACCTCATGATAGAATTTGTTTATATTGACAATTTAAAAAGACTGCGTTTGTTACATATAAATATGCAGTTAGACAATTTTTAACAATTATAGAATATTTATATTTTATCTACACTTTTTTTATTTATCAAAAATCAGTATCTAAAATTTTCATTGCTTTTGGTTTAAAGTTAGTTAAATGCTGGTTTATTATTAAAAGTACATTCGTAAAGTTGTTC